TGGGCTTATAGGCTGAGCCACTGAGCTTGGCTTTTTTTTTTTTGAGTTGGAGTCTCACTCTGTAACCCAGACTGGAGTGCAGTGGCCACTCCCGGCCACCGCAGCCTCGACCTGCTGGGCTCTGGCGATCCTTCCGCCTCAACCTTCCAAGTAGCTGTACTACAGGCGCACGTTACCATGCCTGGCTCATTTTGATTTTATTGTAGAGATGAGGTCTCGCTAAGTTGTCCAGACGGGTCTCGAACCCGTGGGCTCAGGCAGTCCACTCACCTCAGCCTCCCAAAGGTGCGGGATTACAGGCTGAGCCACCGAGCCCGGCTAGAATGTTTTTTTTTTATGGCTAAATAATATTTTACTGTGTGTATACACTACCTTTTCTTACTCCATTCAGTATGGACATTTATGTTGATTCTTTTTTTTTTTTTTAAAGATGTGTGGTATAATTCAGGATTAGGTATACAAGTGGACATCATACAGGTAAAGTGTGAGCCTCTCGTTGGTCCCCACTTTGCCTGCATGTTGATTCTATATTTTGGCTATCATGGATAATGTTGCAGTAAACATGGAATTACAGATGTCTCCTTAGCATACTGACTTTTTAAAATATATATTCAGTAGTACAAATGCTGTATTCGATGGTAGTTTTAGTTTTGTGAAATCATACAGTTTTTCATAATGGCTGTATCAAGTCACATTCATACCAACAATGTGTAAGCATTCCCTTTTTTTTTTGAGTTGGATAGTCTCACTCTGTCACCCAGACTGGAGTGCAGTGGCCGCTCCCGGCCACTGTAGCCTCGACCTGCTGGGCTCCGGCAATCCTTCCGCCTCAGTATTCCAAGTAACTGGAACTACAGGCGCGCACTACCACGCCTGGCTAATTTTTTGATTTATTGTAGAGACGAGGTCTCGCCAAGTTGCCCAGGCGGGTCTCGAACCTGCAGGCTCAGGCATTCCACTCACCTCAGCCTCCCAAAGGTGCGGGATTACAGGCTGAGCCACTGAACCCGGCTACGTATTATTTTTTAACATGCTTGAACCTTCTATTTTTGTCCTATACTTCCCTTTTTTCTAAATAACCATTCACTCTATTATAGGACAAAAATTTACCATACAAGATCCTTTCCGATACCAAAGTATTCTCTTTATATCCTTTTTCTTACTAAAAACATACTTTTATACCAACTTTTTTTACATCTTTCCTTTGCTGTTTTAAAAAATGTTTTTATAGATAACTTTTATAATTTGAACTAATCTTTTAGTAACTTTTGATTAGTGGATAGATGAAACATCTAACTCTTGAACACCCCCAGCTCCTAATGGGGAGTAGGTGTCAGGAGAAAGGTCCAGCAGGAGCCGTTAGGGCTGAAAACTTAGCCTCTGTATTGATCAAGAAATTAATTTGGACCACAGCCCCGTTCATACAAACTCAGGGATTCTATGGGGTGATGGTAAACAGAGCACTGGGCCAGGCTGTAGTCTCCGGGCCCCATCAGTCAGTGGCCACCATTACTGAGCTAGGTGTTACCCCTTCCCTTGGTAAAAGCCATACCGGCTCTTCCAGTGGCCTCATAGTCCACTGAGGACAAGGTCCTGGGAGCTTATGTTGTCAAGGAAAATTGCACTTCAAGTGCCGAGATTAACTGCATCCATAGCAGAAGATACCATCCCCCTTAGCAGGTCTGTACTTACTGTGTTTCTGTTGGGGGGCTGAATTTTTGCCTCTAATGGCAACTGCCAATTGATCTGCCTGTTTTTTGTCTTGCTGATGCTCATCCTAGAGTCTTTCTTGTTTTTCCTCAATGTCTTGGTTATTAAAAACCTCAAAAGTTTTCTGTAATTGGGAGTTTGGTATTTGTGGTTCTAAGTTGGGTATTTAATATCCCACAAGATATAATCTTGTTTGCAAAGCAGTGAAACAAATCAAAAAATGACTCTACATATGGAATTTCTGACAATTTCCCTTCATGCCTACAAAATGAATCCAATTGCCAGATGGTATTAAAGCAGAGTCCTGTTTCTTTTCTCAACCTCATTATCTGCTAACTTGTATTGAGTCCAAATTTGGTTACAATAATGTATTAACTTTTTTGTTTTAAACCACATAATTCTAATTTTTTTCCAATTCTTTAAAATGTGTCCTAATGGGGTGTTTAAGGGTATAGATTACCATCCATTTTCTTGTTCTCATTCCTTGGAAACCCAGAATTTTGCTTTGAACCTTTGTACTGTGTTCCTCACAAGTACATTCTGAAACAAAATTATTACCCAGAATTTTGCCTGGGAACACTTGTGCATTACAGTTCTCAAAGAAGAATTCTGGAAGGAAAAAAAAAAAAAAAAAAGCTATAAACAGCAATACCAGGCATATGGGACTCTGATGGACTCTCCTGAGCTGAGGATCCCCAGCCCTCCCTGAAGCTTCCCTCTGCTTCCACCTACATAGGCGTTCCATACCAGTAACCTCAAGGCCACAAACCAATGAGGTTTAATTCAGGACTTTCCAACAGTGCCTTTGAAATGGTCTGTTACAAAAACCTTTTTAGAGTGAACAGAACAGGTAGATGTGAAATAATTTGTTCCTACTTATTTCCGGTTATGAACAGGCAACTTTGTTAAGAACCTTTATAAATTACTAAATTACAGTTTTAGTTGTGAGGTGTATACAATTAGGTGAGAGTGATCAGGTCTCACACTCCTTGTGCTACAGAGAGCGCTCAGCATTTCACCTATCCAGAAGGAGAAGTGAAGTACTGGGCTGAGTGAGGTGAACTAACTCCGCCCCCCCAAAAAAAACCCACTAGCAAAACTTACAGTGCAAACAGTGGTATTATCTAGCAATAAATTTTAAGGTAGGGGCTTAACATACATCACATACTTCTAAGAGACCTTTGAACAGTTATAGAGACAAACAGTTGATTGCAATCTTGGGCAAAGCCTTTAGAAACAGATTCACTTCTAAATAACCTGGCTGCTAGCATTTGAAAATAAGAACCATGTAACTGCTTATATACCATAGAAAATCATTCCGTCCCCATTCCAAGGAGGAATCCTTCCCTTGCTCCAGTAGAACAGTGAGAGCAAAGCATGAGAAAAAGAAAAAGTGGGGTCTTCTGGTGCTGCACGGAAAGGAAGTCTAAGTCTAGCTTCATCCACTCCCTCTGTGCCTCCTGTCAATGAGGACTGCTCAAGTTTCAGTTCTGCACGGTGCAGGAGCTTGACTCCATCCTGCCTCCACTCATTTCCTGTTAGGGAGGACCAATAATCATGGCCGGAGGGAGCGACAGGGAGGAGATTCTATAGGTGACTCTGAGAAGGAAGAGGAGCAAAAAAGAAAACAGCAGATGCTTAACGGAGAGAAAGAGAGAAGAGAGAAACTGGTGCTGCCATACTTACAGACCACATGGTGCCGGCGATTGCTGAGCTTCAGGCCCCATGTTGGATGCCAGATGATGCTGGGTGGGATGTGGTGCAAAACTCATAGATTCTTTTATTTCTAAAATGAATTTTAGAGCAGCCAGCAGTTTTCAAACAAAGTTTATTAGAGAAAGAAGGCAGAAAAAAAGGGAGACATGCCAGAGCCGTTGGCATGGGCAAGAGACACCGCATTTTTGCTCTTTACAATAGACCTAGTATACCTTTACAATGATTGATATGCTAAAGAGGGTGGAGCTTAGGAAACTGTCAGTCTGGAGATTGACATCTCTGGGCTCCTGATGGGAGGAGAGAAGGGGGTGTGATCTTTTCCTGACCACATTGTTTTTGCAGAAGACCTGCCAGATATTTCCAATTCACAAGTTCCTGAGCTACAAGGTGATCTTATTATCCTTTCTATGGCTTTGGTCATTTAAGGTGTGGTCTTTGGCCTTCTACCTTCAACAGGGAAGTTTCTAAGTGATTGTTATGTTATACCATGAATTCAAAGGTTGAGCTTTCCTGTTCTTACGTCTGATGGGGTTTTCTTCTGATTTGCCCAGGGTATTGGGTAGGCTGCCAACTTGACCTGCAGTAAAATCTAAAACCTACCTATGAGAAATTTATCTATCTATGTCTAACCTGTGCTAGCTCCTGCCTCAGGAGGAGCTGTGGTCCTGGTCCCCAGTACCTTTTTTGTCCTGTTAAAATTTAAACTGAGGCCAGGCTCGGTGGTTCAGTCTGTAATCCCAGAGCTTTGGGAGGCCAAGGTGAGTGGATTACCTGAGCCCATGGGTTTGAAACCCACCCGGGCAACTTGGTGAGACCTCATCTCTACAATAAATCAAAAATTAGCCGGACATGGTAGCACATGCCTGTAGTTCCAGCTACTTAGAAGGCTGAGGCGGAAGGATTGCCGGAACTCAGCAAGTTGAGGGTGCGGTGGCTGAGAGCGTGCCACTGCACTCCAGTCTGGCTGACAGAGTGAGACTCCAACTCAAAAGAAAAAAAAATTTTAAACTGAGGCACCATTAAAACATTAGTTTATTTGAGCAAATAGTGATTTATAAATCAAGGAGTACCCAGTCATGGTTTGTGGTCTGAGGTCCACAGAAGGGGCTTGAAGGAAAGACTTTTATAAGATGCAGGAGAAAGCAAAACACATTCAGTAACTAATTGGTGACAGTTATGTAGTCACCTCATCTGGACTATCCTGGTGGAAATTTCCTGGTTATGGAGTCAGAACTTTATTGGTAGTGTGTGGTTGGTTAAGCCTAAGTTTTCTTCTAGTTAGTTTTCCTCTAACTTAGTAATGTACAAGAAGCTCATTTGCATTAGTTAGGTTTCCTTAGGAAGAATTCCATGTCACCATAGTCACTTCAGTCTAATTGCCCTGTTTAGTTACTTTAACACTCCACTAGGGACTGGTTTTCCCCTTTTTTTCAAAAGCATGGTAAGGATTCAAATTCATTACTATGTTTCCACAGCCTGTATTAAGGCCTATAGAAAGTCCTAAATTTTCAGTTCCTTTCCCACATCCCCAAATGCCAAATACCCCCTGTCCAAGTCACAACATTATCAACTAGTACATAATCAACTATTTGTCCTTTATTTACTTTTCAGACACTGTATTTTAATTGTTCTTTTTTTTTCACAGAGCAGTGGGTAGCTCCTTTAAAATACTTGTTTGCAGAGTCTGAACATTTCCCCTGGGGGGAAAGCAAAGAATAATCACGTGACACTCAGCTATAACAAATCTTTGTGCCTCTCTTGTTATCTTCCATAGCTATAGACAGCTTTTTAGAATGTCTTTGGGTTGATGTTTTCCTTTGGAACTCTTGCAGAGAGATGTGTCCTCAGCCACGCTCTTGTCTTTTCCTGGTGTCAGTTCCTAGGTTTCAGAACTGTCTGGGGATGACCCAGGATGCCCAAAGGGGCCATGTTCCTTGCAATGTCTAGCCAATATCAGCTCCTGGGTGATCTCCTAGAGGAACAGCCTGAGGTATTGGGTGGAGCCACTCAGGAGAGCAGCTGGACACCCTGGAGATGACAGATGAAAAGCTAACACCTTGGGATATTAAGATTTTTTATTTCCTCAACCCAGCTTAGGTTCCTTGCAGACATTTTGGTGGTCAACCAATAAGATTCCAGTATTCAGGGGAAAGACAGAAATATCCTGCCCTTTGGATTCTCTCAGACTTGTAAGAGGAGAAAAACTATCCCAAAGGACAAGGAAGAACCATCCTAGTAGGGTGGTGTGAGAACCTGCAAAGCAAAGTGCACCTTGGCCACGCAGGTGGGGGCAAGTGCAGTGTTTTCTGTGAGGGTGGTAACTGAGCACTTCAGTGAGCAGAATGAAGATGGGAAGATGTCCCAAGTGACAGGATGGCCTGATTTGACATTTGAATCAAACATTTCTGTGTTCCAGTCAGCATTGTCCCTCCCTGGGTGGGTCTCCATGAAAATATTTGTTCACTTATTTCAACTTCAGTTTCTTGTTAATTGTAATATGTATCTTTTCATTAGAGCTTGAAAGATAAAAAAAAAAAAAAAAGACAAATATTTTCTAAGAGTCAAGAAAGTGGTGATTTTAGAAAAAAATTAATTATCTACTCTTATACAGCATATGTTGAAAATTCTTACCTACCTTTTTCATTTTGTAGTGTAAGAGTAAGATTCTGAGGTCTGCTGTATTTTAGCATGATTTCAAACAAAATCTCGAGGCTTAGATTTGAAAAAGCTACCTGGAAAAAAATAGAGACAATTTTTATGTCATTATGGCTGCAGAAAAATGAATGCATTTCCATAAGAAAGTGTGGCAGATTCATTGGTGAATTAGAAACGTTCACAAAAACATCACTTTCTCTCCTGTGGAGGTGGACAATTTGTGACTGGATAATTTGGTTCTGTATCCTGTTATCTGGATGTCAAAATTTAGTGCTACATCTTATGGGATAGAACTTAGCTGTTCACATATGATTGTTCATGACATGATTTGCTATCAGACTTGTTTATGATCTGAGAGGGATACTTTTGCTTTTCCTGTTGAGGTATAAAACGTGAGTGCCAGGTGAGTGAATTGCCTGAGCCCGTGGGTTCGAGACCCACCTGGGTAATTTGGCGAGACCTCATCTCTACAATAAATCAAAAAATTAGCTGGGTGTGGTAGCGCACGCCTGTAGTTCCAGATACTTGGAAGGCTGAGGTGGAAGGATCGCCAGAGCCCAGCAGGTCGAGGCTGCGGTGACCAGGAGCGTGCCATTGCACTCCAGTATGGGTCACAGAGTGAGACTCCAATTCAAAAAAAAAAAAAAAAAAAAGGAAGAATGTAACCCTCCACATACTCACCATATGATCTTATCTACCTTCTGCACCCAGAGATGACCACAGTCCTGATTGTTTTTGTTTTATTTCTTTCTAGCTTAACCATACATCATGAAGCAGGGTTTGGCCTCTTGTGATTTTTTTAGTAATTTAGCATTACCATTAACATTACTAACATTAGCCAGGCTCGGTGACTCAGCCTGTAATCCCGCACCTTTGGGAGGCTGAGGTGAGTGAATTGCCGAGCCCGCGGGTTCAAGACCCGCCTGGGCAGGCGAGACCTCAACTCTACAATAAAATTTAAAAAAAATTAGCCGAACGTGGTAGCGCATGCCTGTAATTCTGGCTACTTGGAAGGCTGAGGCGGAAGAATCGCTGGAGCCCAGTAGGTTGAAGCTGGGGTCACTGCACTCCAGTCTGGGTGACAGAGTGAGACTCCAACTCCAACTCCAGAAGAAAAAAAAAAGAAATGATTACTAACCTCAAGGGTCTAATGTGGGAGTGGGGTGGAACTGCTTCCTCATTCCTGTGCCTCTTTGAGCCTGATAATTTAGAGAAGGCCTACCTTCTTAAAATAGAAAGTTTTTCTTCTTTCTCATTTCTTCTTTTTGATCACAGTCTTTCTTTTTGAAAGCATCCATGATCACAGTCCAGGTGTCAAGGTGACCCTCAGGCCATGAAGGCTCATTCCCCCATAGTCCTGTCCGACATTGGGGTGGGTAGGAAGAGGAGACATCTCAGTGAGGAAGTTTAAGAGCACCCAAAAGTCAAACTGAGATGGCATCACAGGGTGGCAACAATGAAACTTTAGTCAAGTCATTGATTTCCACTGCTGCTGTTCCTTGTTTTATCATCTCTAGTCTTTGGAAAACTAGGATATTAATTTTCTTGGAAGAAGTAAAACGAGAGATACATTGCATTAATAGCTTAATAGTAGAGATATAATGCACATTAGGATTATAAAAGGAGAATGTAGGCCGGGCTCAGTGGTTCAGCCTGTAATCCCAGCATTTTGGGAGGCCGAGGCAAGTGGATTGCCTAAGTCCGCGGGTTTGAGACCAGCCCAGGCAACTTGGCGAGATCTCGTCCCTATAATAAATTTTCTAAAAAATTAGCCGGAGCCAGGCTCGGTGGCTCAGCCTGTAATCCCGCGCCTTTGGGAGGCTGAGGTGAGTGGATTGTCTGAGCCCGCGGGTTCAAGACCCGCCTGGGCAGCGAGACCTCATCTCTACAATAAATCAAAAAATCAGCCGGGCGTGGTAGCGCATGCCTGTAATTCCAGCTACTTGGAAGGCTGAGGCGGAAGGATCGCCGGAGCCCAGCAGGTCGAGGCTGCGGTGGCCGGGAGCGGCCACTGCACTCCAGTCTGGGCGACAGAGTGAGACTCCAACTCAAAAAAAAAAAAAAATTAGCCGGGCATGGTAGTGCTTGCCTGTAGTTCCAGTTACTTGGAAGGCTGAGGGGAAAGGATTGTTGGAGCCCAGCAGGTCGATGCTGCAGTGGCAGTGAGCATGTCACTGCACTCCAGCCTGGGTGATGGAGTAAGACTCCAACTCAAAAAGAAACAGGAGAATGTATATGCCAGAAGAACAACAAACCCATTAGAGAACCAACTGAGAACAGTACAAAGAATATTCATTTCCTCTTAAGAGACTTGTGGTTAGCTGGGCTCAGTGGCTCAGCCTGTAATCTCACGCTTTCGGAGGTTGAGGTGAGTGGGTTGCCTGAGTCCGCAGGTTCAAGACCCGCCTGGGCAACTTGGCGAGACCTCATCTCTACAATAAATCAAAAAATTAGCTGGGCATGGTAGCGCACGCCTGTAGTTCCAGCTACTTGGAAGGCTGAGGTGGAAGGTTCGCCGGAGCCCAGCAGGTCGAGGCTGCGGTGGCTGGGAGCGGCCACTGCACTCCAGTCTGGGTGACAGAGTGAGACTCCAACTCAAAAAAATAAATAAATAAAATAAAAGATAGTATAAATGACTATTTCTTTTTCTTATCTAAATTCATCTGAAACACAATTGTATTAAAACATGCATACATAAAAAAATTTGGTATATATATTCATGATGGAATATTACTCAGCCATAAAGAAGGACATAATTATGAATTCTGCAGCAACTTGGATGGACTTAGAGTCTATAGTAATCAATGATCTACCACAGAAACAAGGAACTGGGTACCATATGTTCTCACTCATAACAGACTCTGAACAATTATCATAGTACTATCAGAAAAGGATTGGCAATAGTGGGAAACTGATTGGGGGGGCACACTTCATCAATAAGGGTACCTGATCTCAAACCAGGTGAAGTGGGGACCAAAGTGAGGCCCAAACTTTATCTGTAAAATGACCATTTGTATACCTAACCCTTAATTGTACCCCGCATCTTTAAAATTTTTTAAAAAATGAATACAATTGTATTGTTAGGCCTATTACAAATATAAGTATAGTCTAAATTTCACTAACAAAACAAAGGAGGATGTGAGTGAGAACAAAGCTATTTGGGGATAAAGAAGTATCTCCTAAAAATGGTTTAAAGACTGGTTGCGGTGGCTGAAGTCTATAATCCCAGCACTTTGGGAGGCCCAGTCGAGAGGACTGCCTGAGATCAGGGCTTCAAGACCAGCCTGAGCAACTTGGCAAAACCTCTGCTCTATGATAAATCAAAAAATTAGTCAGGCGCGGTAACGAGCACCTGTAGTTCTGGCTACTGGGAAGGCTGAGGCGGAGGGATTGCAGGAGCGTAGCAGGTGGACGCTGTGGTGGCCGTGAGTGTGCTGCTGCACTCCAGCCTGGGTGACAGAGTGAGACTCCAACTCAAAAAAATATGACCGGGCTCAGTGGCTCAGCCTGTAATCCCAGCACTTTGGGATGCCGTGGTCAGTGGATTACCAGAGGCTGTGGGTTCGAGACCAGCCCGGGCAACTTGGCGAGACCTCATCTCTACAATAAATCAAAAAATGAGCTGGGCGTGGTAGTGCCCGCCTGTAGTTCCAGATACTTGGAAGGCTCAGGCGGAGCCCAGCAGGTCGATGCTGGGGTGGCCATGCACTGCACTCCAGCCTGGGTGACTGAGTGAGACTCCAACTCAAATAATAATAATAATAATAATAATAATAATAGTGACTTGAATACACTGGAACAAATGAAGAGAATCAGAAATAGGAAATAAGAAGGTTCATATCACAAAAGTTCTAGATAATTGCACCCTTTTTATTTCTCATCTACTTTAAAAGAATTAATATTACATAAAATAATAAGTGCAAAATATATCAGTGAATTTGTAAAATATATACATGCAATAAGTAAATGACTATTGAATAAAACAGTACACAGGGGATCTAATATCTCATTTTAAAATTTTTATTTATTTTTTATTTTTTGTGAGTTGGAGTCTCATTCTGTCGCTCAGACTGGAGTGCAGTGGCCGCTCCCAGCCACCGCAGCCTCGCCTGCTGGGCTCCG